TAGGTGGGAATGTTACCCAGAGAACAACAAGATACACATTAATACAAAGTAGTCTCACTGGATATCTAAATGCTTAAAAACCATTAAGACATAATCAAACCAAAAGGCTACAATGGGAATCAGACTTCAAACAATAGGATAGGCAAAGTTGAAAGAAAGTTCATACAAATAAACCCAAATTCAAACTGTTTGGCAACAACCAACAACAGTTTGTTTGATGCCAGAGTGGAGAATGGTATCACATTCAATGTATATCTACAGTGAGGCATGCTGGGAGACAAATGCAAGTGTAAGCTGCATCTCAACCAATGGAAGTCGGAGATCTATACAAAATTGATGGTACCCGACTGCTGCCAGGTACAAGCATATTTTCATCCATCATGTTATTCTCTCATCAAAAATATCTATTGGGCAAGGATCTATTTTCCAGCAAGACACTGATTCTCCACATACAAAAAAATATAGTGAAATAATACCAGAAAGGGGAAAAAGGGCAATGAAACACTCATAGTCATGGCCTGGTCTTCATAAAATCCTAGTATGAATATTATTGTGTACGAGCTTATATGCAGTTACATTTCTATAGAACATAGTTAATGAACTTTATAGGGTATCAAATGTGAAGGTAAATAGCAAAACTAAAACATTCTAAATCTACTATTCAAGAGAAATCACAGTGAAAATAGGAGTATGAAAAATTATTTCCTCAAAAAGAATGGCTGGATGGCATCCACCCTTTCATAAACTGAATAGACAGCACCAACCCTTGTGCCTAACACCGCTTATATAGAAGCTCAAATGGCAACCAAGTGTGTGTTATGTATGAATTTTAAGGAATGATACAAGATGTTTCAAAAAAATATTTCACAACCACCAATTATTAACTTTATAGTAACATAAAAACATGGTGTACTATGCTGTTTAAAGCAAATACAGAATACAACTTATTTCCTTTTATTCAATATTTTTGGTAAAGAAAATGATAATACTAATAATAATTTGACCATTTAGTTGTAATTACTCATTGTTCTTAATTTCTGTATGTGTTTTGTCTATTTATTTCTATAATTATTTCTAATACTATACATAAACTTTATCTAAATCTATCAGTTATAATTCTTACACAAGATAAACTTTAATTGAAAATAGGTCCACAAACATTAGTGAACTCTCATGTATAAAATTATGACATGCCATAGGCAATCATTCATATTTCTGTAATTGATTAAAGTTTTAAAAAAAATTATACCACATTCATCAGTATACCTATTAAAAATTTCACCCAAATTTGTTGTTGGCCATTTGAAGCTCTTTCTAACATCCATTCTTGAAGTAAAAGTGTAGGGATTGGTATTTTTTTTAACTTTAGCCCCCCACTTTAAAAATTATACTTTTAAGGGTATTCATCTTCAAGCTTGAAAGTAATGTTTTTAAAATTAAAAATTAGTCTGAAGATCTTTCCATCATTTGAAGTTTTTGAACAAATCAAATATGTACAACTTTGGTATAAGGATTACTCATGTATTACAATAAATGTAAAAATAATAGTGAGAAAGAATATAGTGTTGAATAAATAAAACAATAACTACACATTGTAAAGATATGAAAATTGTGCACAAACAGGCAATCAGAAACAGGATGCATTCCTAAATTACCATGGTTGAGAGAGTTGTTCTTTTAATCTAAGATTATGTAATATAATTTAAATGCATTACCTGTTATTATTCAAATCTACTTCTGACTCCATCAATATAAATTTATTTTCTACATTTTGATCTTGAGAATAAAAGTGTTAAACTTGATGACTACCATTCTCCCAGGTTACTGTAACAATGAAATTACCCTGCTTACTTTATAGCTTTGTGCATAGAACATTAGTTACATGTAATTACTTTCAACAAATGTGTTTCACTTTCCATTGAAGCATTTTTTATTCATCCATAAAAAAACACCACTACCAAAACAATGAAATCTCTTCTGACCATTCTTTTCCTTCTATTAAACACATGTGGCTCAACACAGTTTACAGTGATACAACTGTTTTTGTCGCTTTAGGACCGAGTAAAGCATACTAATTACATGCCTGATTAATAAATCATTCATTATCCGATTTTATAGTTTATAATGAATGTCCTGATACTTTAGCTTTTATTTTTCACTCATTATTGTGGAGATAAAATATGGATCACATATGTATCACAATGAAAGCTAGATAAATAAGCTTTACAATAAAAAGTAGAAACCAGCCTAAATCATAATATTTTACCCTTGATATTTAATAGTTCTTCAATAATTTGTTGGACACTACCAACTAAAAATTTAAGATTATTTTTTTTTGCACTTACTTGAGATTTTTCAGAATTTTTAAAAGGATTGTTTGCTTCAAAATTTGCTCAAATCTACACAAGATCTATTTGCATTGGCCATCCTTTATTAGGAACTTATAGATTAGAGGGAAAGTAGCTAGTTAATAGCATCCGCTGCTAACTCTTGGGTAACTATAATGGAATAGTGGGATTTGGCCATCACTTTTATAACACATTTACATCACCAAAGTGTGGAGTGCAATTTTGCAACAACAAGGTGCAAACCATAGTCACTCTGATTCACAATATGTCATAAATTACTAGTAATTAATTCGATAATTCACAATGACCATAC